AGGGTTGTATAGGGTTTTACAGGGTATTTATGAGTAGAGCATTCCTGGATGCAGAGCCAGGCGACTGGAGAGCTTGTCAAAATTAGGAATCGAAAAGGTCCTGCGGAGGATAGTTCTGTAAAGGGCTCCTGTAAGTCTACGCGGAAAGATCTAGGGGGGGATTACGTCCACAATTTACTACGTGCTGCAGCCGAAGCTGTTTCGGATAACAAAGCTAGACGCGCATAACGCTCACGACTTAAGGGGCTCGAAGCGCTGGGGCAACTGTTGCCCGGGAACAATAATCTCCACGACGAAAAATGCAAGAGGCTCGCGCACAGTTTGGTAGAAAGGTGATAGAGGGAACTGAGCCGCATCTGTGGCTTGAGTGTTTTAATAAATGAAGGTAAATAATAAAGCACCTCTCCCAACTGGGGATCCCATAGTCCCTCCAAGAGCTGGCGGGTATGAAGGAGTTGAAGAACAAGGGTAAGTGTTGCCAAGCCTATCTGATTTCATTCCTACTGCATGCCCGACGCAGACTTTTGACGAAGAATTACTTGATTCCCGCGCCCTTTCCCTACAGCCGAGAACACGCACTGACCCCACAGCCCAAGCCCAAGATATTGGACCTGAAGTTGCACCCCAAAACTCCTATCCGGCCAAGAATGTAAGGAGTCTTAATGTAGGATTGGAACCTGAACGGAAGAGCACACATTGATCAGTTTTCTCCTTGGCGCGCTCTACAGAAACCTACAGTAACGTGCCTGGGTACATGTCACGCGTGCCCAGGCTCCTGAAATGTGTGCCAGCTGTCCTGCTTGAGGTTCACGTTGCCTCACATCTTTCACCACAAAACGGACGGGATCCATTTATGCGAGAGTGCTACCACTGCTATCACTTCTCTCCTGTCCTCATGATGGTCAGATCTTTGGAATGCGACGACGACCACTACCACGGCGACGATGACGCAGTACCACTGTAATCCCTTCCCCTAATAGAAACCATCCTCTGATATTAGGGATATAACCCATTATGGAAGTTCCCATTTTCTTTTCCGTTC